AAGTTTTTATTCAATGGCCAAAGAATGAGAAGCCCAAGTCTTGATTTTTTTTAAAAAAAATCACTTCACAACACACTTAGGCTTGAGACATCAGAGATACTGTCTTACTTTTCCTATGGCTGTGATAAAGTAGCTAAAAAAAACAATTACAGGGAAAGCATTTATTTGGCTCATGGTTCCAGGGTTCAGTCCATCCTGGCTGAGAAGTCAAGATAGGAGGAGCTTGATGCAGCTGGTCACAATACATCCACAATTAAGAAACAGAGAAGGGGCAGGACATAATGACACATACCTTATACCCAGCACTCAGGAGACAAGAGGCAGGGGGGTCTCTGTGAGCTTGAGACCAGCCTGGTCTACACAGCGAGTTCCAGGCCAGCTGCGGCTACAGGGGGAGGGAAAAAAAAAAAAAAAAAAAGAGGAGGATATTCTTTCCAAAAGGGTTTTCCTTATAGTAACAAAAGGGTTGATAGAAGATGGTGGTCCTGCCAGATGTGGTGGTGCACACCTTTAGTCCCAGCACTCAGGAGGCAGAGGCAGGTGGATCTCTGTGAGCTTGAGACCAGCCTGGTCTACACAGCGAGTTCCAGGCCAGCTGCGGCTACAGGGAGAGGAAAAAAAAAAAAAAAGAAGATGGTAGTCTATTCATTCCAAAGGGTTTTACCTGATAGTCACAAAGGTAGGCAGTGAGTGACAGCTGTTAAAGGGACTGAAGACAGCCCACGATAGCTTGGCTCTGGACCTGCAGCATTTGACCCTCTGAAACCACGCAGTTCTTACAGTCAGTCAGCCTTGTAGAATCTTTAATGGGTGTGGCTAATCTTTAACAGGCTTTTTCCCCCTGGGAATTTCACATCAGTCTGGGTTTGTCAGATGCTAATGTCCCATCTTCATTAGAACCCACCCTAATGTTCTCTTTTTCACTTGGGGACCCATGTAAAGACACTGTCTCCAATACAGTCCCATTGGGAAGTAGGCAGTCAGGACTTCCTCACAGGGACACGGGGAAGCATGATGCAGCCCCTGAGAGTAGGCACCCCTGCTTTTACTAACAGTGGGAGGTAGAGGGGTAGGTGGGACCTAGGAGCCTCCTTGCTGGTGGGATTCACTGCACTGGTGCCCAGGATCACAGGGACAGAGCCCGAGGGAAGTGTGGTGGGGTGAGCTCCCTTCCTGGGTGCTGACCTTCCCCTCTGGGCTCTGTGCCCCTGCTCCTGCCGCTGAGCACTGTGTTCTGCCCAGGCTGGCGCGCTCCAGCCACAGGCACCAAGAGGTGAAGAGCCTGGGAAGGGTATACGGCTACTTCCCGCCAAGCTCCCAGAGCGTATTCACCATTTCAGGAGACAAGGTGAGGTGACTGCCCTCCCCAGGACTTGTGCTGTTGAGTTGTCTGGGCTGTCTGGTACTGACTGATTGCATTTCACAGGCCATGGGGAAGCTGGGCACCTCCCTGTCTAGTGGCCACGTGAGGCTGAATGGGACCTTGACACGAGTGCTGGTGGTTGGGGCTCCGACTCACGGTAAGTCACCCATGTGCCGTGGGACTTGGTTTCCTTTGGGTCATGAGGTTCTTTGACCTTATTGTCTTGACAGAAAGTTATGAAAGCTGGCCATACAGAAGTGGGCTTAAATATATCATGAACAGACACTGTGTAGCTTTGGGGCAGTTACTTAACCTCTCTGAATTTTATATCATCATCTGCAGAATAGGGTGATAGTGTCTTTTTCAAAGGTTTATTTAAAATGATGCATCAGTGTGAGTGTTTAAAGTTCCCACACCATTGACCTTGGATCTGGAGAACTGTTCTGTTTTTGTTTCTGAGACGGCGTCTCACTGTTTAGCCCAGCCTGGTCAGAAACTTGGGACTGACTCCGCTGGTCTCACTCCTTCAGGCCAAGTAGGGGCAGGAGGATCAGGAGTTCAAGGCCAGCTTCTGCTATGCAGAGAATTGAGAGTAGCCTCAGCTCCATGAGATCTTTCGTCTCAAAAAACTAATGGTGGTGCATGCCTTTAATCCCAGCACTTGGGAGGCAGAGGCAGGCAGATCTTTGCGAGTTCAAGGCCAGCCTGGTCTACATAGTGAGTTCCAGGACAGCTGGGGCCACAGGGAGACCCTGCTTCAAAAAGACAAAAACAAAACAAAACAAACAAACAAACAAAAAAAAAACCCACCAAACCCTAAAGATGTAAAGAAAGAAATAAGAAAACCTAAACTGAGGGGCTGAGGCGGGAAGGGCACTGCTGGATCCTGCTTCATTCTTGAGATACCAGCCTTGTGGCTTGTTCCAGATGATGTGTCTAAAATGGCATTCCTGACCATGACCCTGCACCAGGGTGGAGCCACCAGGCTGTATGAGCTGCCCCCGGAGAGCACGCATCCAGAACTGCTCAGCACCATCAGTGGGGACCGGCGGTTCTCCCGCTTTGGTGGAGTTCTGCATCTGAGCGACCTGGATGATGATGGCTTAGGTAAGGAAGGAGCTGGGATGTTAACACACCGGTCCCCTCTGATTGACAGCCAGGTGATCTAAGGGGTTTTTGAGACATCGGCTCATGTAGCAGAGGCTGGTATTCAAAAGTATTGATCTTCTCAGTGGAACTACATGGCAGTCAACGTCTGAGCCACCATGTCCGGCCCAGAGTGGCTTTCAGTAGGTTTGATCTGGATGCTGAACAGGAAGATGCACTTCCCGAAGGTGCAGTGGCAGAGTCTCTGTGTCAGCTACTGATGAAGTACCAAAGGAGCAAACAAAGGCTTGTAACTGGCTTAGTTGGGAGGAAGTCCAGGCGGGCTCAAGGACTCCCTGCTCACTTGTGAGGCTCAGGAAGGTGGAGGGAGATGCGTTTGATGCCCCTCCCGGTTTCTGTGCACAGATGAAATCATCATGGCTGCCCCACTGAGGATAACGTACTTCACCTCCGGATTGCTTGGAGGAGAAGATGGGCGAGTGTACATTTATAACGGCAAGCAGACTACCCTGGGTGACATGACGGCCAAATGCAAGTCCTGGATGACTCCGTGTCCAGAGGAGAAGGTAAGGCAGTCTGCAGAGCCTGCCCCATGCTGGGGAAGGAGAAGGACTGGGAATTGCGTGTCCCCTACTTGCAATTACTTGGGCTGGAATCCTGCGGCCACTTACCTGTCCAGGATGTGTGGGCCAGTGGCCCCAGTGCTGGCGGCTGTGCGCTTTACCTCTGGAGCTGAAGTCTAGGTGGATTGGGAAGCACCTTGGTCCCTGGCCACAGCCTGGCTAGCAGACACAGGGAAACAGGTGGAAGCCTCCAGCTGCTTCTGACTTCCTGGTTTGCTGTTGTTCCTTTGCTCTGGTTTCTCTGTTTCCTGGACTGTCAGTATTTGGCTTGGCTACTTAAAAAAATAATAATAATTTATTGAGAATTTCATACATGCATAAAAGGTGTTTTGATCACATCCACACCCACTGCCTCCCCTCCAGCTCCTCCCATATCTCCCCATCACTCTTTTCTGATAACTTCATGTACTCTTTCTTCTTCTTTGATTGATTGATTTTTTTTTTAATTGGGCTTTTGGCTACTCTAACATTCCCACATTCCCCCCTCTGAAGAGGGACCATAAAATCTTTCAAGGATTAGATACAAGCTCCCACATACTTTCAACATTTTTGGCCTTTGGAACAGAGTATGTTGCTAAGACGTCCAAGGACATTGTAATTTTTAGCCAAGAAACTGGCTACTTTTCTTTGGGGTCTTTTCACTCTAACTGCCTAGTCAATTCCTACCTCCTATTCTTATCACACCATCATCCTCTGAAGGGGTTACCCAAATTGCCAATAGGGAATTGGGACACAGATTGCTCTGGCTTCTTCCATGCTGAACAGGGACGCAGGGTGAGACAATTGGGGTTCCCCTTCAGTGGGTCTATCTAAAAGACTCCCAAATTGCATAGTTCTTATCTGTAGGGGGAAAACAAAGTCCTTGAATCCTGAATAGGAGATGTGAAGGAGAAGTCTAAAGGCTCTTTGTCCTGGACGTATACAGGTGTGGCCAGTGGTGCCTTACCCCTACTGCACAACACAGTGTCTTGATTTCCACCCCAACATCTCTGAAGTCCTTGTTGCTTAGCACTGGAGCCCTGGCTAACCCGAGAGTGAGTGGGGGCTTTAACACTCTGTGGAGCGAGCTTCAGACTCTACAGGGAGGGACCAGGCAGAGAAATGCAACCTCTTGCACCCATGCTGGGTTTGGTTTTGTGGCACTGTCTCACTATGTAGCTTTTAGAAAAATTTATCCATCATTTTAGAACAATAGCAGGTTGTCTCCCTTAGCTACAGGTGCGCACTGCAGTGTTGGAGACCGAGATCTGAAGTCTTACATCTGAGCAGCACCCTCTGGTTAGGAACAAAATCATCAATGAGAAATAATTGTCTAAATAACTTTTTATATAGACTTAAACCTAATGTCTGGGAAGTGTAATCCCTTGAACTCTTAAAGAAGTATACTGATGACTTTACTTTTGGTTATACTTTCCTTTTGGCTTTTGAAGACCATATAATTGGCCCAAATAAATCAATTTATTTTTACACTTAAGGTCATTTGAGGATCTGTTCCTCAGGGGTCACAT